TTTTTTAAAGTTCTTATCCACCAACTTCAATATCATCATCTCTGGGTCTGTCTCTACCCATCACAATTACTTCTTATTGGCTGACTCTCGCCATCTTTTGCTCTGCTTCTATTGACTATTTTGTCTTCGTTATTGGGTATTTTCCATGCTTCCTCGCGTCTAATGATTTCTGCTACATCCTTGACGCGGCGGCAGTGCGTTGCAGAGGCTGTGCGTTAGTTACCGTTACGTTGTCACCATCTGGAGAATGTCGGGTTTGCTCTGAAGGATGGTCACGTCCCCAGCAGACCGCGGGGACCCTCTGAGGTTTGGTTTCGGGCTGCGTAGGACGGGCCTGTTGCAGTTGCTGCCTCTCAGTGTGAAGCTCTCACTGCGGGACGTCCTGGCTCTAGCGTGCCGCCTTCGCGGGGCCGCGACTGATCGCCAAGGGCACTCGCAGGGTTCCTGTCTGGGCTCGCATCGCCGTGTCTCCCCAGCACTGGGAACCACTCACGCTCCCGCTTGCCCCCAGACCCTCGGAAACCGTTTTCTGTGAGGCCGCTGGGAGTTGCCCGCACGCACCTTAGGAGTTGACCAGGTCAGATTTCCAGGGTTCCTTTTCTGCCAGTTCCCCCTCCAGTCCCCTGCTCCCCAGATCCCAGCAGCCAGATTCCGATCTTGTTCCTGCTAAAAGGAGAGCTCTGCTGTCTGCCTGGTCCCTGTTTCCCAGGACGGAAGTCGGGAAGATGCCCTCGTGCTCCCGTCCGAGCCTGCTGCCCTTGCTCTGCGCACTTTGTTCGGTGTTGAAGGTGTTTCCTGCAGAACTGCAAGTCTAATGCCAGCTCTTCCACCTCGTCTGGGGGCCTGGGCACCCCGCCTGTGGTGCAACTCCCAGGAGTGAGCTCTCAAGCTCGCAGCGAGTCCTGCTGTGTCTCTGGGCTCCGGCTCACTCCTTGGCCTAAAATGTTATCTGTCCTCTTCACGCTCACTCTCAGACCCGGCCTGAAGCCACGCAGCCCTCCGCAGGTCTCTGCTTCCCGGTGTGGCCTTGAGTCGCGTGGGCTCTGCACCCCCCTGGTGTCCTCTCCCGCCCCCACCGTGCTCCACCCTGAGTGCTGGGTGCTCGCGTCCTTCCCTCTCTCGTCAACTTGGGAGGCCCCGCCAGGGCCCCTCCTGTGGGCAAACACACCAGGCTGTTCCTCATCCCCTGCGTGTCCACTGGTGGGTGCAGCCGTCTCTGACCCGTGAGGTGCATTTATAGGAACTAGGAGCTTAGAAGAAGGGAGGGGTCCCCTGAAAGGCAGATCCCTCTGGAAGAAGACAGAGGTGCTATCAAGACACCTGTCATAGATGTGGGGTTCACTCCAAGGCCCAGCTTTGGGGAGGAGTCCTGGCTCCACGGAACTGATTCGGGAGACTTTTCCGGACCAGGACACTGGTCCTCTTCCAGGGACAGCTGCTGTGGGGTGCCGATGCCCCAGGCCGAGGCCTGGTCTATGACCCCCAGGTGTGGCCAGCCTAGGTGGGAGCAGCTGCAGTGACCGCACGGGGGTTGGTGAGGACCCTGTGTGAGGAAGGCACATCATGGGTGTCGCAGGACACACGCGCAGGCACCCTCCGCCCTGGGGGACAGCACCAGGATCATGTCAGCTCCACAGCCAGCTGGGTGCCTGCGAAACGCAGGTTCCCGGATCCACCCTGGGGTGCTAGTTCTGTGCATCTGGGGGGCTGAGGGCTCCGCCTGTTGACAGGGGACCATCACTAACCCCAGGTGGCTGTGGCGCGGAGCCGTCCAGGGCCACATGCCGTGAAGCCCTGTGCTTGGAGGAGAGCGCCGGTCACCCAGCATCAGTGAGGGTGTGGGTGGGGCCTAGCCCCCCATACCCCCCAGCCCTGGCGGGGGGCACTGGGACCAGCATGTCATAGCCTCGAGGCTGCAGTGATGCCACCAGACACATGCTGGATCCGCTTCGCAGCAAGGAGCCACAGGGGGTGCGGTGTCTGCGGGGTTGCAGGACTCCCCAAATCCTACGCTGCCTGCCGCGGTGTGTGTGGCCTGGCCGGGCCTGGAATCACTCCCACCCTGCTACCCAGGTTTGGGTGTGTCGCTGCGTTCAAGACGGCCCCCCGTGAGTGCGGTCGACGAGCGTTTCCCTGGGGGTGGCTGGGAGATCTCAGCGTTCCCAGCCTAACAGAGACCCTGTGTGCACGGGGCTGGTGGCTTTAGGAGGCACTTTCTGGGACACTGTCCGATCTGTACTTACATGGGTCCCCTGGCCCGGGTGACCGCAGCTCCCTGCATTCTTGCCGGGTGGTCCATGCGGTGGCGCTCGGGCACGTCACCTAACAACACGGGGGGGCCCTGCCGCGAGGTCGGACCCTGCTCCCAGCCAGGTGGCTCCGGAGGTGGGGTCCTTGGGTCGCGGCTCTTGATTTCTTGTTTCCCGATGAGAGGAAAGTGCGGGGAGTGTGAGTGCTGAGCCGGCCGCTCATTCGTGTTTTATGTTCATTCGCCTTTGTTCTCACTAACCGACTGTGTTGCCTCTTCCAGCATCCCTGTGCTCGAGTAAACGGCAGTTTAGCGGTTAAGGATTTCTTGTTCAGCTCGGCCTCCTGTGTGGCCCGAAGTCCACGATCTGGGCTAATCAGGCAGCTCCGTCTTTGCTTCCAAGCTAACTTCAGTTTCTTAGCTCGTTTTATCTTTAAACAGCACGTAAAGCGGCAAGATACCTGTTCTGCTCTGTTGCTGAAAAGTGTTTCGTGCCGAGCTGTTCACCCCGAATCCCTGACGACCTCGTCTTCTTGTAAACTTGCGGCTGTCAGTGACGCCGCCCGAGCGCCCAAGTCTGTCATTTGGACTTTGGGCCGCTCCGTCGGGTCTGGGTGCAGCGCCCGCCTCCTGGTCTCGCGTCCCTGCGGCAGCTGGGATGAGGCAGGCAGCAGCTGTGACCCGGAAGGGCTCCTGAAGCTGCTGTTAGTGGACTGAGCGCAAAGGGCTGCACGGTAGGGAGGTGGGAAGGCCACCCACCCTCATGGCCACCAGCCTGGCCGGTGAGCAGATAGCCTGGGCAGTCAAACCTGGGCACCCTGGCACCGCCGTCTGGTCTGCTTGTCCGGGAAACCCTACCTCACCCCGAAGGCCTGGCTTGCCTGGAAACAGCCATACAGCAGGCCAGCCCTGTGGCCAAACCTAGATGACAGGGGGGCCCCACCTGCCCGGCCCTCCCAGTGAGCAGGCCCAGCCAGGGAAGGGGCTACATGGGCTTGGAGGCCGGGCTCCTATTCCGTGGCCCCCTGCACCGCCCTCCTGCTGGCAGGTGTGGGTGACTCCGTACAGCTTCTCCCGGCTCTGCGGGACATGCAGCCCCTGCACGCTGGGAGCCCCAGCGGGACGGCGCGGGGAGGGGCACACAGGCCCCGGGGGCCCCCTCAGGAAGGTGCCTCAGCTGGCAGTGGGGCTGCCGGCTCTCGGTGCGCAACGCTCTGCTTTTGCTTCTGGTCTCAGAGCCCAAGACACTGGGGGGCTGCGCCGTGAGGGCCGCCACTCTGCCTGTTTCCATGGTGACCGCAGACCTGCGCCTGTGTGACTGTGTTCTGTTCTCCTTGTAGATGGAGGAGATAAAGTTTAAAGACAGAGCAGTCTTCGTGCTGGAGAGAGAGTTAGGGGTTCAAGCCGGGCACGCTCAGAGACTGCAGCTCCAAATGGAGGCTCTAGATGAGCAGCTGTCCCAGGTCAGAGAGGCCGACCGGCACCCCGGCAGCCCCAGACGGGAACTTCCTCATGCAGGCGGTGCAGGAGACGCCTCAGACCACTCGGGAAGCCCTGTAAGCACCTCCCCAGGCCCCCCCGGCCCCCAGACCCACAGGCAGATGGGGCCACGTGGCTGCACGGCCCTGTGCAGGCAGCACCCTGGGGGCCAGAGCCCAGGCTGAGCCAGCGCCGGCCTTGGGTGCCCTCCAGCCCGGCCCCGACCCTCTGAGCGCTGGCAGATGCGTCCCCTTCCTTCCCGCCAACACGGCGTGAGCACCGGCCTCATCACCCTCCCGCGGGCCCCCAGGTTGCGGAGGGACCCGCCCAGCCCCTGGCTGGCGGCAGAGGGGGCTGCCCTCAGCTCGTGCTGCTTCCGTCCCGCACGCGGGCAAGGCCGTCTGTCCCATCCCTGGCCGGGCCTCTCGCGTGGAGGCTCCCGGCACTCACGTCACCAGTCACCCTCCCACCCGCTTTTGTGTGGCTGCACCGCTCCCCGCGCCTGCCGGGCTGCTCGTGGCGGCGTGGCGTCTGCATGGCCGTGGCTTCCGCATGGCCGTGGCTTCCATCCTTGCCTCATCCAGGTTCTCCGCGGTGGCTCTGGCACTTCCTGGGGACCCACCTGCCACGGACCCCTGTGGTCCTGCGGGGTCTCTGGGCCCCTGGCCTCTCCTGCACCTGTTGAATGAGGAACTCGAGTCTCATCCAGGGCCTCCCTGGACACCTGTGTCTTTGCTTTGAGGATAAAACTCTATTTGAGCTGAGCCAGGCCTAGGACAGTGACATTTCAAAAATAGAAAACATTTTATAATCTAATTATAAATGGCTTAACTGGATTACAACCAGCCCCTCCTGCTCTGGTGCTTGATCGACGATCCCATTAACTCCAGAGAAATTTCGAAACTAGATTAACTGTTGTCACTGATTTCTGACTGACGTCCCAGTGGTTCCAAACGTGACCCGTTAGCAGCTCAGTCCGAGGAGCACCCTTGGGAAACCAGCCTTTCACAGTCTCCAAGTATCTCCTCCTGTGCTCACGTCACGATCCCAGAAAATCGGCCCCCGCCGGGCGGGGCAGACCCTTCCCGCAGGTGCAGCTCTGCAGCAGCCCCCGGAGAGCACGGCGGCTGCGTGTCCCCCGGCGTGGCCCACACGCGCGGTCCCCGCATTTGCACGCCCCGGCCCCCCGCATTTGCATACCCAGACATTTCTGCTCCCTTGGTTCCGTCCCCACCGCGCAGTTTGCAGTGGCCGAGGGTTGGGGCAGGGCTGCCTCCCCTGGCGGCCGTTGGAAGCCAAGGCCATGGTGACGCCGCGTGTTTGTTTCCTTAGCGTGTTGGGATTTGCGAGGGTTTTCCCCGCCTGTGTCTAGGAACGGTTATTTGCAGTTGATTCTTGTTTTAGGAACAGCAGTTGGATGAAAAGGATGCCCGGCGCTTCCAACTTAAAATCGCGGAGCTGAGCGCGATCATCCGCAAGCTGGAAGACCGCAACGCCCTGCTGTCGGAGGAGAGGAATGAGCTGGTGAGTGTGGGTGGCTCTTGGATCCTCCGAGTTTATGGCTGCGGAGGGGGTGGGGCCTCCACTTCCCGAGTTCCTGTGGAAGGGAGGAGGGGTGGTTACAGGGCCAGCCTTGCGTCTGGGCTCTTGGCTGTGTTCCAGTAAAGCTTTATTAGCAGAACAGGTGGTGGGCAGCCAGATGCGGCCCTCCAGTGCTGGTTGGCAGATCCCTGCTCTCTGCGGCTGGGGAAAGTGTCCCCATTCTGCACGGCATCCGGGATGGGTGAGGACACGGCCCTTGGGTGGGGCCAACACCGTCAGTCCTTATAACCCCTGGGATTTTGAGCTCCTGGAGGGCGTGAGCGGCTCAGGGTGTTGAGAATGGCCCAGTGCGCCGGCGATTTGACTGCGGCTCTCCTTGGCACGTGGCGCGCGGGCCCCAGGCTGCTGTGTTCAGCTTCTCCTGTCTGCGGATGGGACCCGGCATGGCCCCTGGCGACGCGCAGCCCAGCCTGAGCGCGGGGTCACCTGGGTGCCAGGCGGGCGGACGCCACCAGGCAGCAGGGACTGAAGTTGCCTCCTTCCAAATAGCGGGTCGGTAACCACGTTGCGGCGGCCGGAGCTCCGGGCGGGGTGCTGACTCTGTGTGGAGAGCTGTCGGTTCTCTGGTACTTGAAAGCGTCAGGTCGTACGATCGATTTTGTCTCGCAGTTAAAGCGATTAAGAGAGGCCGAGAGTCAGTATAAGCCGTTGCTGGATAAAAACAAACGCCTTACTCGGAAAAATGAAGATTTGTCCCACACTTTGCGTCGGATGGAAAACAAGTTAAAGTTTGTCACCCAGGAGAACATAGAGATGGTAAGGGGCCGGGCGGGGGCCGGGCGGCCAGCGGCAGGGGGTGGCCGTCCCCTCTGCGTCTCTGTGTGTGATGCCGCAAGATGGCAGCTCCTGGGCCGCAGCCCAGGCCTTTCCCGCGGGCGTCTGGTCTCACGCGCTTGGTGGGAGAGGAGCCCGAGAGCCCTCAGTTTCCCCTGGGGCTCTGAGGCTGGGCAGGGGGCCCCGGCCTTGCAGCCGTGGGGCAGCCACCTGCTTGGCTCATGCAGGAGGAGGGGAAGACCCCAGCTCCCCACACGCAGTCAGGCGCTGCCCTCCCCGCCTTGAGACATGGTCCGCTCCGTGTTGCAGAGACAGAGGGCCGGGATCATACGGAGACCCAGCTCCTTAAACGACCTCGATCAAAGTCAAGACGAAAGAGAAGTTGATTTCCTGAAACTTCAGATCGTCGAGCAGCAAAACCTCATAGACGAGCTTTCTAAGGTAACCGGTGGGCTGTACGCCCGCCCGCCCCTGGCTCCCGGGAGCCAGGCAGGAGATGGGGAGGGTGGGCTGGCGTTTGTGGGGCCACTCGGGCTGGGTCCCCCGTGCCGCTGCTGCTCGAGGCGGCCCTCCCTGCACTAGCCTCTCCCTGGATCTCCGAATCACGTCCCTCTGGCTGCCCAGGCCCCAGAGGTGCTGTCCGTGCTCGCTCCTTGGGCTGCCGTAGCAAATCAGCACACACGGGGCGGGGGGGGGCTCAGGACAATGGCGGTTTATCCTCTCACAGCTCTGGGGGCCACTAGTCCAAAACCGTGGCTGTGGCAGGGCTGCGCTCCCCCTAGAGGCTCCCGGGGAGGATCCTCTCTGCCACCTCGCAGACTCTGGGGCCGTCGGCCACGTCACGGCTTCGTCCTCTTGTGTCGTTCGTAGCAACCAGTCCTGGGTTGAGGCCCAACCAGGTGGGCTCCGGGTCCTTGCTCAGCTGTGCCTGCAAACACGCTGTTTCCAATCGAGTCACATTCACAGGTCTGGGGAGCAGGCCGTGGGCACGTCTTTTGGGGCACCCTCCAGCCCACCCCAGGGCCACCCCGTGGCCCCTGCACCCAACACGGTTTTGCAAATAGTCCTTCCTGAAACTGTCCCTCAGTTATCTCCGTTTGGGGCACCTTCCGCATCGTGCTGGGATCGCGACTGGTGACGCAGTGAGGTCGTCTCAGAACGCACTGCCCTCGGCCATTCTGCGTCCTCTGGAAGGGACGGCAGAGTCCCTCTGTGTCACCAGCGCACGCAGCTGGGAGGCGCTGACCTGTCTCCAGTGACTGAAGCCGCCTCCACAGAACCGTGAGATGGGACACAGAGGGACCCCCTGCCCGCCACGGGCTGCGCGCTGAGATCTGCGCTTGTTTCTCGTCCGGTTACGCAGTGACTGCCCATCTCGGCGACACCGAGAGTTCACGAGGGAAATAGCAGGAACGGGGCAAGGCCTCGGCCAATCGCAAACGCTCACGATTTCTGTTTCCAAAAGGCCCCTTTCTCCTGCTGCCGAGCGAGGGATGCGCCCGTCCACCCAGAGCAGGGCCCCCCGGGCAGCGGCCGAGGGAGGCGGAGGCTGCCAGGAGGGTGCGGGTGGCGGTTAGGACACGGCAAAGGTTCGGGGGCCCCTCCGGGGGTCTTAAGCCTGCGGCAGCGGTTCCATGACGTGCTGTTTTCTTTTCCTAGACCCTTGAAACCGCCGGCTACGTGAAGAGCGTGTTAGTAAGTACCGGTCTGTGTCTCCCCGCGTGTGCGAGGCTCCTGTTTCCCAGGGCAGTTGCCCGCGGGCCCTGTTCCGTGCTGACGGCGCCTTGTGTAGACAGAACCGCGTTAGGGTAGACTGGCTGCCATCACGGCGCTGCCTGACCAGGGCTTTGCACTGGGGCCCGAGAACGCCCGGCCTCCCTCTGCGTCGTAGTTGAGGCCCGGCCAGGCAGCCGCCCGCCCCGGGAACTCCCTCCGCCCGGGCTTCTCCCGGGGGCGGCACGGACAGGCAGCGTCGGCCTGGCTGGGTCACTCCCATGGCCGGGAAACACAGCGCAGCTTCCCTGGAGAGAAGCAGGTCACTGGCCTCCTTACGCGTGGGAGGGCGTCGGCCTCCACACAGGGGCCGGCGCCGTCCTGCAGGGCGCGGAGGGGCCTGGGCCACTGGCCCCCCTTGAGCTGCCCATTCCCGCCTGTGCCCTCCGGTCACCTGCCTCCTAGCGCATGCGGAAGGGGACCTGGGGACGGCTGACGGCCCAGAGCCACATGGGCCCTGACAGGGGGGTGGGGGGGTCCGCAGGCTGCCAGAGCAGGACCCTGAGGGAAGGCCTCTGTTCCATGTAGCCCGAATCCATGTCCTGTGTCAGTCCACGTGATGACACGGAAACACTGAGCCGTGGTTTTGAAGCAAAAAACTCTCTCCCCTGGTTTCCGCAGGAGCGGGATAAGCTTTTAAGATACCGGAAGCAAAGAAAGAAAATGGCGAAACTCCCCAAGGTAAAGAGTGTGTGTCAGCGCGCGCCGCGAAAACCCACTTCCCGGGAGCAGATCTCCTCCTTTGGAGATGGAAAGGAGATCATTTTTATTATTTCTAAAAGTTGTTACTGTGAAACAACCAAAATAGGATCCAAAGAAAACATTCCGCTTGTAATTTTAAATTTAGAAATCCAACCACATTTCTTTTACGTTTCCGAGAGAAGCTGGGAATTCCTAATAACGATACCAACAGCAGTGCTGGCGTCGGTGGTGGGGGGTGGAGGGCCGGCCCTGGGGGCTGGTCTCCCACCGCCCCCTGCGAGGCTGAGCCCCCACGTCTGCAGACGCGCAGTGCTGGGCTCAGTCTGCTGCGCCATGCGGGCCGCCCCGCCATTCACTGTCCCCGGCCGCTGCACCACGGCCCCCGGGGCCAGCCATGCCCCCAGGAAATCTGAAGACCTGGGATAATTTCTGTACGGTCCTTTTTGATGAACTTGTCATTTTTATTAAGGGAGCTTTTGGAGAATGTCCCAAAGGACCAGACTTACCTCCCGCTTTGTGCGAAACGTGTGTGTTGTTTTGTTTTCACACAGTCAGCGATGGTCGCTGACGGCTTCCAGACGTTCCTTAGTCACAATGGCTGGGCGCTCGCGCTCCCGAGGGCCATCTCAGGGCATTTAGAAGTTACCTGGAGGGGCGGAGGCAGGAGGGGTGGGGGGTCCGCGGCGTGTGTGTCCTGCTCATGGCTGCCCAGGCGCTGCCGGGACCGGGGGAGGCACGTCAAACAGAGAGGCTGGGAGCCAGGGCGGGACAGGCCGGGCCCGTCTGTGAACGCCGCAGGCCCGAGCGGCCTCGGCAGGGTGTGCCTGGAGGAGAAACTGAGGCTGCTGTGGGGAGCCGGGCAAGGGCCCAGGAGGCAGAGGGAGCGGCGGGCGTCCAGAGGGAGGCTGACGGGACGTGGTGACCAGGAGGCCGGGCCGCTGCCCTGGTCGGGGTGTGATGATCAGAGACCGAGGGGCCGGCAGCGGACTGGGCGTTTAATAAAAGAACCTCCAGTTTGTGCTCGTGCATTTGCCCAAGTCTGGAAGGTTCCGTGAGGAGTCGGGGAGAAGCTGGGAACAGGGGAAGCTGCCCCAGGCGAGGTGGCAGAGCCCTGCGAGGCCGGCCGCGGCGGGACGCGGGTGTCTGGGGAGGCGCACACAGCAGAGGGGCCAGAGGCTTGTCTGTGGGGTCCAGGTTGGTCTGGGGGCCCCAGGGAGGATTTTTGCTGGAAGGTTCCGGCAGAGGAACCAGCAGGGAGACCCGGGGGCTGAGAAAGGAAGGGGACCTTGAGTGTGACTGAGAGGAGGTGGCAGGATTTTGGATTTTGTGACATTTCTAAACCTAAGAGAGGAAACATGAGGTTCGTGGAGGCAGGGGCGAGGGGTGGACCAGGGTCGCCAAAGGCAGGCCCTCGCAGACCGGCTGGTACAGGACTCATCTGTGGCTTTGCTCTCATTCCGATCTGTCAAGACTGACATTTTCAAAATTACAACAGGAATGCTTTACTGGAGACGAGACCCTGCCTCGGGGCCCGTGCGCTGTCCGCTCCGTGCGTCCCGCTGGGCACCGGTGGCGACCGCTGAGCGCCGCCGCGCTCGGAACTGCAGAGACCTCGTCCCCACGAAAGCATTTGTCCCCCACCATGAGGGTCGAACCCAGGGCCCTCCTGTCCGCAGGCCCCGGCCTGCTCCCCGCCGCCCCCTTGGGACGGAGATGGGGCCGGGGCAGGGTGGGGCCGTGCGGTGGGCGTCACTTCGTGGCTGGGCCCCCAGGCAGGGCTCCAGGAAGAGGAGGCGGGACAGGGCCGGGTGGGGGGTGCCGCCTGGGCCTGGGTTTGCACTAACGCTGCGTTTTGGCCACAAGCCGGTCATCGTGGAGACCTTTTTCGGTTACGACGAGGAAGCATCCCTGGAATCCGACGGTTCTTCTGTCTCTTACCAAACGGACCGGACGGACCAGACCCCGTGCACCCCTGACGATGACTTGGACGAGGTAACTTGGGTCTTCCCTCGGCAGGTCCCCGCTTGCCGGCCAGCGGGCTCCTGGCAGGACCAGCCCTCGGGGATACTGAGGCCAGGTGGGGTCCGGTTGTGTGCGTCCGGCTCCTGCCCTCTGCGTCGCTAGGGGTGCGGCTGCCCCGGCTCCCACCCAGGGCCCGCCATGCTCCCTCCCGCCATTGAGCCGCGCCCTCTGCAGAGGGGTCCGGGGCTCCCACCGGAGATCAGTCCCAAGGCCCAGAGCAATCAGGGCAACAGAGACGTCTAGTGGGAGCTTTCTTTGTGACAGAGACACAGCCCCTTCTTCCAGAACCAAGGCCACCCTCCCGTCCAGGCCGCCGTCTCAGCCCCAGGGCCAGAAGCCACGGCGTGGCCCAGCCCCGTGGCTGTGGGACCAGGGGTGCGGGTCCCTGACCAGGCCCACAGTCAAGGCCAGGGATTGGGCCTCCCCCAGCTGATGCCCAGGGGCCACTCGGTGGTTGCAGCCCTACCTGGAGATCCAAGATGTACCATGGCCTTGGGGCGTTGGGCGGGGCAGGGAACCGGCTGGGTCGGGTTTCCAGGCTCGGTGTAGCCTGGGCACTGCCCGCCCTCCCCACCCTGGGTGCCCTGGGGCCCTGCGAAGGCAGCAGCAGAGCCCCCTCCAGCTGCCTTCTCCCCGGCTGCAGGTGTCACCCCAGCCAGGGCTGAGTCTGCAGGCGCCGGCCTGGGAGGACGGGCCTGGGAGGAGCGGTGCTGCCCGGGAATCCTCACCCCTCGCGCACGGCCCGGCTCTCTTGCCCGGACGCGCTTCAGCAGGGCCGCGTGTGGGGCCGGCCGGCAGTGGAGGGTGTGGGTGGGGCAGCCAGGCTGGCAGGCAGGGGCCGGCCCGGCCTGCACCCCGGGACTCATGTCCCCAGGGAAACCTCTGTCCAGATGTCACTGGGTCCCTGGGCAGCCGCCCTCCCTGCGAGGTGGCGACGGGCTCCTCACGCTGACAGACAGACCCGCTGGGGAACGTGGGGAGCCCGGGTGCCCCGCGGTCCGGGGAGGTGTGCGGCGCGTGGCCCGCGCTGACGCTGTCTCTGCCTGTGCCGTCCTGCGCCTCTCCAGGGCACGGCCAAGGAGGAGACGGAGCTGCGGTTCCGGCAGCTGACCATGGAGTACCAGGCGCTGCAGCGCGCCTATGCCTTGCTGCAGGAGCAGGTCGGAGGGACGCTGGACGCAGAGCGAGAAGTTAAGGTCTAACTGACTTCCACTCCACGACGCTCCGGCTGCGCCCGTCACCCCGCGTGCCCCGTGGCCCTGCAGGGACACCTGCGCCGTCACCCCGCGGGCCGGGCCCTTGTCTCCTGCCGTGACTTAGGACCCGTGACGCTCACTGAGGGCACAGACCCATGTCTGGGACCCAGGGCTGGGGTCCCGCTGGGCGGGGGGAGGGCGAGCGGTGCCGGGTAGGGGAGCGTGGGGGCCCCGGAGAGCCCCGGGCCGTGGTGGCGGCGTGGGTCCTGCGGCACCTGGGGAAGTCACCTTCCTGCCACCTGCCTGTGGTGCTCTCAGGTAGCCTGGGGCTGGGAGCGCAGGGGGGCGAGGGCCGGGGCATTTGAGCTGTTCTCGAAACTTGCTGAGATCATTATTCACCCAGCAACTGTTGAGCTCAAACCTGCCCCGGCCTTTATCCTCAGCCAGAGCAGCGGCGTCCCCTCCTGTCCCTGCTTCTCAGGCCCGCCCTGGCGTTGGCATCGGAAATGCCCAAATATGCGGCTGGTGCGGCTGGTGGGCGCCCCATGCTGGCTGTGGGGGCAGCGCAGGCAATAGGCCACGTGGGGAGCACCCTGGGTGAGGGGTCCCGGGCTGGCCCACCTCCTGCCGCGGGCTCCGTGGCTGGCGCACCTCACAGGGAGACGGGCGCGTCCCCCACGGGTGAGACTCTCCTGAGCAGGTGGCCGTGGGGCCTAGGGTCCCGGTCGGGCCTGCTCCCCGCATCCACCCTGCAGGGCCAGGGGCACCATCTGCCACTTGGGCTGGGTGGAGGAGGGGCCTCTGGGGTGAGGGGCAGTGTCGCAGACACCCCAGACATCCATCCTGGCCGCCCGGGGGAGCCACTAGGCCTCACCCTCTGTCCCCTCTACTGCCCTGGGGACTTGGCCGGGTCCCCCCTGCCTTTCTGGGCACCTGTCGTGAGAGTGAGAAGAAAGGCGAACCCCGCTGTGCCCCCCAGCCCTTCCTGGCGGGCACCTGTCCATGGAGGCGACTTTCCCTCCTCTGGCTTGGAAACGAGATTCATCTGCTGAACAGGGGACTTTAAACATTTCCCGTTTGAATTTCTTGACTTAATTTTTGTACAGCTCTCGGAGAAAGAAAAAGTCAAAGTTTCTGTTCAGGTCTTCGTCAGACCCAGGGGCCTGGGCGTGGCGGGCGTGACCGGCCTGAGCCGGCGCAGGGCCTCGTCCTCCTGCTCCCCGCCCGCCTCGTTTGGGAGCTGGAGGAAGCCTCGGTTTCCCTTTTCACCATCGCATGACAGAGAAACTTTTGATCGAAGGCCGCATGGAAACAAAGAACTTCTAAGACTTTGCTTAGAGAGTGAAAAGGTCCAAACTGCATTTTAAAAAATTTTTAATTGACATTTAGAATTAGAGAAAAATTTGATGCACAAAAGTACCATATGATTATTTTAAAAATTGGAAATCACAGAAAAGACAAATGAGGAAAGTAGACTACGCAGGACCCCGGCAGCCTGACGGTGCTGAAATTGGAAATGGTGCCCTTGCTGCGCCCGTCGGCGGCCCAGGAATAAGGAAGGGGCCGTGGAGGGGGCACGAGAGGCCACTGACGATGCAGACGTGGCCCCTTACAGGGTCCAGGGCTGTGGGCAGCCACGGTCTCCAGGGCCCTGTCTCCCCGCCTGGCAGCGCAGGGCTGGCACTGGCTGGAACCCCCTCTGCTCAGCCTTCCCTGACCCTTTAGGGGACGACAGAGGCGAGGGGAGCAGGCCCGGTGTGGGGGTGGGAGCCACGATCTGCGGATGGGGCGCATCAGGGACCCGGAGCTCGGTGGGTACCGCCAAATGCCCTCGGACCCTGTGCCCAGTGGCCCCCAGAGGCTCCCACCCCCACACTGCTCCCTCTGTGTCCCCGAGGGGGGCGGGGGCGGCCGGGCCTTTGGCCCCCCCCGGGGCAATTTAGTTCGGGGGGGCCCCTTCGGCCCCCCTTGGGGGGGCGTTCCCAACCCGGGTGCCGACTTCTGAAGCGCGGAGCTCATCCTCCGAGCCAGGGGTGGGCTCTGGGCAGCAGGTTAAGGGGCACGAGGTGCGGGGCGGGGCTGAGCCCGGGGCTGGGGGCCTCCCACGCCGGTGGCAGTGCCTTTCCGAGAGCCCCTCTGTGTGCGCCGGCATCACCCAAGGAGACGGCAGCACAGCCCCAGCCAGGGCTCGGTCCTCCCTCTGTTTCCTCCTGCAAGCAAGGATTTCCCCTGGGGAGCTCCCAGAATTCACCTGCAGAGTTTCCCTCACACTTTAGGTGAGATCACTTGCTTCGAGCAAGCCTTAGAGCTCCCCTTCTTGGAAAGCGCCTCTTTCTCCCAAGGGAGCAAATGGCTGCCTCTCAGGGAGGCAGGCAGAGTCCTCCGCCGTCTGCGAGATGCGCCGTCCGTCCGCACCTGGCTCGTAGGGAAAGTTTGACGTATCTTTCCTCCCGTCCTACAGACGCGTGAGCAGCTCCACGCAGAAGTGCAGCGGGCGCAGACGCGCATCGAGGACCTGGAGAAGGCCCTGGCGGAGCAGGGGCAGGTGAGCCCGTGACCGTGGGCGGGAGGGGCCTGGTCCCCGTGGGGCGGCCTGAGCGGCCTCTCCCGACCTGCTGGGCTGGAGGGTGTCCTCGAGGTGGGAGGGCATCGGAGCCCGGCCCGCGGCCGTCCTTGGTGCTAACTGCTGGGCGGACAGACAAGAGGATGACATGAGCCACAGACGTGCCACGTTGCCTCCGTCCCAGAATTCAGTGCCATGGCATCCGTGACCACCCCCTGGGCCACTGCACATACGGGCTGCAGGCATGGCACCACCCTGCGCCGTGCGCAGCCCCGAGGACCGGAAGGCCCTGTCCCCAGATGTCGAGGGTGAGATCCCTGAGGCGCCTCCGATGCTCTAGTCGTCTCACGGATGCTGCCGTCTGTGTGTCCGGAGAAGCGTGGCCGGTGGCTGGGACGCAGGAGGAGGAGGAGAAGGACACCACTCTCTTCATTTGCGGAAGTGACACCTTTAAACCTGCTCAGGATTCCACAGATGACTTTGGGGAGGAGAAATTTCTGATGAAGTCCAGTTTCTGAAGAAACTGAGTTTCCTCCTGACGCTTTATACTCAAAAATGCTGCCAGTGGGGGATGGATGTGAGGCCTTTTGGTGCAAGAATGTGCCGAGGACACGGGACGCCTCCCGAGACGGATCTCAGGTGCAGCCAGCGCGGCGTCCACACAGGCTGCGCAGTAGAGCGCAGAGCCCGACGCCCACCCGCAGGACTGGGTGTGACGTGGACGGAAGCCCGCCCTGAGGGAAGTGTCCCCCACCTGTCCAGACTCTTGCTCTGCCGCTGAGTCGCGGTCTCAGTGGCTCTGGGCCAGGGTCCCCTGCACCGTGACGTCCACGTGTGCCTCTGGGCACCTGGCCTGGGGCCGCGGGCCTGCGTGCGGCCGTGTGGCGGCCTGCGGTGTCCTCGAGGGTTCTCCTGAGGCAGGGCGGCCCCCAAGGACCTGTGAGAAGACGGAGGAGTCATAGGTTTGCGTCGTCTGCGCGACTTGAACTGTCACTAGGTGGTGGCTTCACGGGCTGGCGTGGGGCCCCTCGTGTCCCGCCGTGTCACGGTCTAAGTGTTGGCGTCACGGTTTGCCGCAGCTGTGTTTATCTCTGTTTCAACTCTGTTTTCAAGGACATGAAGTGGATCGAGGAGAAGCAAGCGCTGTATCGGAGAAATCAGGAACTCGTGGAAAAGGTAGGCCTGCTCCGCGCTCGGGGGGTGTGGGGGTTTGGGGGTGCGCAGGCACAGGGCCCTGTCCGCGCTGCCCACTCCCATGGGAGCCCCTCAGTCGCCCCCCGGCTCCTGGAGACGAGACGTCCTGACGCGGTGAGCCCGCGTGTGTCCTGTGGACACGGCCCGTCTCCTAAACCAGGGAGTCGTGCACTGAAAGGCACGCACACCTAAAGGCACGCGTGTTCAAATGCTCTCTGCACACTAAACACACGCACGCTTGTGTGCACACACAGTCCCTCATGTGCACACTTAGAGCCTGTGCTTTTCTCTGGCCACGGCGGGTGTGGGGTCCCGGTCCTGGTCCCGTGGGCTCCACAGCAGCCCAGCTGTGCGGTGTCATATGAGGGGGCCGCAGGACCCCGCTGCCCACCGCCTCGGCTCACGCAGAGGATGCCAATGCCCCGAGTTTGTCTCTCCCAGCCCAGAGCATCAGCGCAGGCCCCTCAGTCCCCCGAGTTCAGTTCGGGGGTGGGGCGGACACAGCCATCTGCTCCTGGCAGATGCCTGCCCTGGTGCAGCGGCAGCCGTGCCACCCCACCCCTTGGAAGGGGGGACTCCCACATCAGGTTCACTTGTTGGTTCAGTTTAAACAGTTCCTTAACTAACCAGGTAAATTCTGGAAGGCAGCCAGGCAGCGGTGGCCCCCGGCCCTTCCATGGGGCACAGCCTGGGCTCCAAGGGGCACCAGGGAGTGGCTCGGAGACCGTCGTCCTCAACACCGCCCCCCGCCCGGCCCTGCTCAGACTGGCAGCCTCAGCGCCACCTCCCCGGGCTCCCTGCGCCCTGCGCCCAGCCCTCCCTGTCCAGCCTCAGCCCTGCTTAACCAAGGGGGGGGGTCACCCAGCCTCACCGAGATGGACCCAGACGCACTCAGGCTGGAGTAGGGGTTCAGGGCCACATGTGACAGGGCCAGCGCTGGGGCCAGCAGCCGTCCAGATGTCCGGAGTCAACCCCTGCGCCCTCCGGTGAGAAGGCAGGACTCCTCGCCGCGACCAGCGTCTCTCCCACAGATCCGACAGATGGAGACCGAGGAGGCTCGGCTGAGACACGAGGTGCAGGACGGAAGAGACCAGAACGAGCTGCTGGAGTTCAGGATCCTGGAGCTCGAGGTACCTGCTGCCGGGAGCGGTGGTGCCAGGGTGCTCCAGCTCAGGGCCGGCGCCGCCGTGCGCTGTGACGGGGGCTCCTGTCCTCGGGCCTCCCAACCCGCAAGGGTCTTGGGACACGGACCCAAGAGGCCAGGTTGGACCCGCACATCCCTCGATGGACTGGGCCAGCCGGGCAAGGCGTTGCCACCCAGGGATGCAAGCCGCAGAGCTCCGTGCCGTGAAGGGCCAACAAAAGCAGGATAAATGACAACGCTGGTGTCACATCCAGACCTGTGGGGCCCGAGATACCAGGGCAGTGTCCTCAGCTTGTCCCTGTGGCTGCGGCAGCTGCATCTGGTGACAACTCGCAGCAGGGACAATGCCCAACCTCAGCCATCAGCCCGGCAGATGCTCGTTTCTTGCTCACAGAAGCCCCGGAGTGGGGGGCAGTGGGTGCCACGCGGTGACCAGGGACCCTCTGGCTGGGCCTTGCCGCCCCTCGCCCTAGACCCTCTGCTGTGACCTGCATGGCTGGGAGGGTGGGCAAGGTTTCTGCGGGGGAGATCGGGCCGGGTGTGGGTGGCCTTGTCACTGCACTCACCTCCCACTGCCAGGCCAGGAGGAAGTGGCCCTGCAGGTGCCGCCCCCCTGGCCACCCCACACAGCGCCAGGGCCACCATCCCGGTTCAATGGCTGGACCCGACTCAGAGCCCAGACGGATCTGCCCCGGAGTCCTCCTGGCCACTCCATGTGGGTGACCGTCCCCTGGGCCTCTTGGGCTCCTGCACATGGTCCTGCTGTGAGGAACGTGGCAGAACCACCAGCCCATGTCCCCAAGGGGCTTGCGCTGGCCAGGCCTGTGGTTGACACTCGGCCTGCAGCCTCCCCTCGAGCCTCCCAACAGCCCCTGGGAGTCGCTGGTGGATGAGCAAGTGGCCTTGGGTTGGGGACCACCAGGGCCACGCGGCCAGGTGGGATGGAGCCGGAACCCACAGCCTGGCTGGGGCCAGTGAGTCCACTGGGCTTTTCTTGGAGCACGTCTGATGAGGGTTCTGCCCCGCACAGCTGGCCCGGGGGGGGCAGAAACAATTGTGTTGACTCCTTGTTCGGTGAGCTTGGCCGGTGTCCTCGGGCCCCAGCACAGCCCCCTCGGAGGGAGGGGACGGGAAGGGAACAGCCCACTGAGCCCAGCCTTCTGCTCTGTCCTAGGAGAGGGAGAGGAAGTCACCCGCCATCAACTTCCACCACACGCCCTTCGTGGACGGGAAGAGCCCCCTCCAGGCGTACTGCGAGGCTGAAGGCGTGACGGTGAGCCCCGCCCCGCCCCACCCCGCTGCCCCACCGCACCCCTGCGGCCACTCACCTTCCACCTGTCCCTCTCCTCGCCCCTAGGACATCCTGGTCCCGGAGCTGATGAAGAAGCTGGACATCCTGGGGGATAACGCCGTAAGTGTATGTTGCTCTCCTGACTTGTGCATGCCTCCTCACGCCCACGCCCGCCACCCTGCCTGCCCTCGGCCCCCAGCCCTGCAGGCCCCACCCGTCCTGCCCGGGGCCCCTGCCCAGGGCCCTCCCCAGGGCCGAGGCCCGCCTGCAGCGGGACCCCTGGGGCATGGGAGATGCCCACTCCTTTCTCCTATCGTTCCTGTGCCCATCAGGGCCTCTGCTGCGTACACCCGACTCCTCCAGCCAGTGACACCTCCAGTCACGTGGTCCTAGTCCCTGGAATTTCTATCTTTCTGCTCTTCCGTACCCTCACTGGGGATGGGGCTGTTGCTCTTAGACACACCAAGATGCTAGGGGTTCCTCCTTCCTTGGTTTTGGGGAAGAAGCAGAGTCCATAGATAACTCCTAAATCTCATTTGGGGCAGAGTTCTAATTTCTGTGGCAAAGTCCTCAAAAGAATATTAATTGCTAAATAGGCAAGTAACTTCACCTCTTAATCCCACCCTCCATCCATCCATTCTCCATCCATCCATCCTCCATCCATCCATTCTCCATCCTCCATCCATCCAGCCATCCTCCAATCATCCTCGATCCTCCATGCATCTTCCATAGTCCATCCACCCTTCATCCATCGATCTGTCCATCCATTTTCCATCCATCCATCCATCCTCCATTCATCCATTCTCCATCCTCCATCCATCCTCCATCCATCCAGCCATCCTCCATCCATCCTCCATCCATCCATCCAGCCATCCTCCAATCATCCTCGATCTTCCATGCATCTTCCATAGTCCATCCACCCTTCATCCATCGATCTGTCCATCCATTTTCCATCCATCCATCCATCCTCCATCCTCCATCCATCCTCCATCCATCCATCCATCCTCCATCCATCCATCCTCCATCCATCCAGCCATCCTCCATCCATCCTTGATCCTCCATGCATCTTCCATAGTCCGTCCACCCTTCATTCATTGATTGATCCATCCATTCTCCATCCATCCATCCATCCTCCATCCATCCATCCATCCATCCTCCATCCATCCATCCTTCATCCATCCATCCATCCATCCTCCATCCATCCATCCTCCATCCATCCATCCATCCTCCATCCATCCATCCTCCATCCATCCATCCTCCATCCATCCATCCATCCATCCTCCATCCATCCATCCTCCATCCATCCAGCCATCCTCCATCCATCCTTGATCCTCCATGCATCTTCCATAGTCCATCCACCCTTCATCCATTGATTGATCCATCCATTCTCCATCCATCCATCCATCTTCAATCCTCCGTCCCTCCATCATCTCACAGTCATTGACCTCTTCTACCCACTCTGTGCAGGGAGGGCCCTGTGTCGACAGGATCCCTCCCTCCCTTGCCTGCCCACCACCTAGAGCAGAGCAGGGAGATGCTTTCAGCAGAGAGGCTCTCCTGGCTGTGGCGAGACCTAGGAGTTCCGCCGGAGCTGTAGGTAGCAGAAGCACTACCCCCCAGCAAGGTTGGCTATTGGCGTGACTTGCACTGGAGTCCAGCCTGGGCATCAGCCCCATCATAGGTTCTAGGGAACCTTACTGGGCCACCCTCTGATTCACAGCTAGAGAAACTGAGGCCCCAAAGGCACCTGCCCAGGGTCACACAGCAATGGAGTGGTAGAGTCAGGGGCACTCAGCTCTGCCAGCCCTGTTTTGGGGCTCCTCCCCAGCCCTGTAGCTGTCCCCCTGAGGGTGCCACTGAGTGTGACTTCCCTGGAGCCATCATGCTGCCTCTGAGGTCATTCTTCACTGAGGACAGGGACAGCGAAGGTTGGGACTGGAGGTTTCACACTCAGGAGACCCCGTGGATGCTCTTGGCAGCTCCTGCTCATGGGCCGAGGGGCGTCCCTTCAGGTCTGACTGTGCAGCTGTTGAGCAAACGTCACGTGCATGTCATGAGCCAGCTGTGCTCCATGGAGGCTGAGCTCGCGTGTCCCCGCCTGAAGCACAAAGTGTCCCAGCTTGTGAGGAAGCAGATGACCATCACCTTCACAGCCAGGGCATGCTAGTGCTGTGGCTGCTGTCCCCAGATCCTCCTCCAGTCTGGCCATGTGGACACCTAAGCCCCAGAGCTTCTCCTGCCTGCCTCAGTTTCCTCAGGAGCCAGGACCAGGAGAGGAGAGTGGAGAGGCTGGGGGTGCACAGCAGGTGCCCACTCTCCCTGGCAGGCAGCGGCTCTCTCTGCCACTGCACCTGGGCTGCAGAGGGGACGGGACACCTGGGGAAGGAAGAGCAGGGCCATGAGGGGGGAGCAGACGGCACTTTGCCAAGGCCGGGGCATCAGGACAAGGCCACCACCCAGAGGGAGTCAGAGTGCCAGGCTGCCAGTGGGAGGGACGTCTGGGTAGGTCCCCCAGTCACCCTGGAGCCACCTCCTTACCCTCCCCTACTCCAGTGCCCTGGGGGAAGGCAGTGGCCACCCCGCCTGCCCTGGGAGCGGGAAGAGGGCAGAGGCCGCCTCTGCCTGCAGCAGCTGGTCAGCACCTGCCCGCGGGAGACCCTGCTGCGGACTCTGGCGTGGGGGGCCTGCAAGAGACGCCTGCCCTTGGGGCCTCGCTCTAGGCGGAGACCACAGGGCAGGGCTTTCTGCGTGACCTGGTCCTGAGTCAGGGACATTCTCAGGGTGGATGAGCGCCCCTCCCCTGCAGTGACCCTGCTCCTCACCCCCGCCCCTGGCCGTCCCACAAGTTGGGCCCACACAGTCCTGGCCTGAGGCAGGTGGAGTCGGGGCTGAGCGTGGGAAGTGCCCACGCCCTGTCAGGGTCCTCCTCTGGCCCCAAAGCCAGGCTTGCCCTGCCTGGAAGGACCACCCAGTGGGCCTCTTGGGATGAAGCATGAATGAAACGTGCAGAAAAAAGGCAAAAACCACCCGGGATTAGACCCATTTCACAGCCACGTACACTCGATCTTCCCTCCACCACTCACAAGCGGAGTTGTAGTAATTCGTGGCTGTGCGTGCAGAGTACTGGCTTTAAACAAAGCGGGGACAGAGACGGTAGGGCAGCATCTGTCGTGGGGATGCAGTCGCCACGCACCTGTGCCAAGCCGCCACTCTGCCTCAGCCGGTGCCGCGCCAAAGAGAGGGGAAGTGGACAGCACCCAAGGGAACGAGGCCGAGAGTCGAGGGTGTCAGGGACCCGGGGTGCCCGTCACAGCGTCTGCTAGCTGAGGCCCCAGCCCCTCCCGTCAGCTCCACTGTGCATCCGCCATCCAGCCCCTGACCCAGCCCGGGCACGGCCTCTCACTGTCCCCGTGTTCTGCTTCTGGGTGCAGAACCTGACCAATGAGGAGCAAGTGATTGTCATACAAGCCAGGACAGTCCTGACCTTGGCCGAAAAGGTAACAGCGGCTGTGTGGACGCTTGGGAGAGGGCGGGGCTCCTGGGGTCTCCTGCCCTGCTCAGCTTAGAGATGGGGTTGCCCTGGGAGGGGGGTCTGCAGGGCTGGGTAGGGGGTCCACGAAGCCCTGTCTACTGGGGAGATCTGGCACACACAGGTCACACAGCACCCACTGTGCATCTTTGCAAAGGATAGATTCAGCTGGACTTTGCCCTGACGCCAGCTCTGCCTCAGTTTCCTCCCAAAGGCTGGCAGGTGTGGTGGGTCTGGGTGTTCTCTGTTCCACCTGCCAGAACCCTCTTCTGGGGGCTTCCCAGCCCCCAGCCCAGACCTGCCTGGTGGGCTCAGCCTCCCACAGCGAGGAGAAGAGGTGCTCCTGGCACACAGGGGCTCGGGGAACCAGGCCCCCTCCCCGCCTGTCCCAGCAGAGCTCTGTCCATAGATGTCCTGCTGTAGCCTGAGCCACATTCCTCCTCTCCCTGGCAAGGCGTGGTGGGCGGCTTCCTGGACACCAGGCGGTGGCTGGGGCGGGGCCCAGGCTGGCCAGCCCCTGGGTGCACAATGTGCACGCCGCCAGCCCAGCCCAGCACCCCGGCAAGGGCCAAGCTCTCCCTGCCCAAGGAGGGGGGGAAGGAGGAAGGCCCAGGCCTCCTGGGGTCCTCTCCAGCTGTCTCCATGGAGCCGGGGCAAGGGATGGCATTGGTGCCTGTGTGGGTGACCCGAGGGGTCACTGTGCTGCCTGTTCTGCTCGTGCCCAGTGGCTGCAGCAGATTGAGGAGACAGAGTCGGCGCTGCAGCGGAAGATGGTGGATCTGGAGAGCGAGAAGGTCGGTGGGCGTCTCCTGCGTGGCCTGGCAGCGTGGCGCGGCTGGTGGGCTGCCACAACCAGACACCGTCCTCCTGTGTTTCAGGAGCTGTTCAGTAAGCAGAAGGGCTACTTGGACGAGGAGCTGGACTACAGGAAGCAGGCCTTGGACCAGGCCCACAAGGTGAGGGACACGAGGGTGCTGGGCCCTGGGCTGGGGGTTTCCAGTGGGGGTGGGGCAGGAGCAGGGGGAGAGGACAGGTAGTCTGCTGACCTTAGAGGGTGCTCGGGTCCATCCGTGCCTCCCTTGCCCACGCTGCACAGGGCAGGACAGTGACGGGTGTGACCACCATCCGGGGCTCGACTATCATCATAGTGATAGTGATTGTGATGATGGTGATGGTGATGGTGGTAACAATGGTGGTCATGGTGATGGTGATGATGGTGGTAACAATGGTGGTGGTGGTGATGATGATGATGGTGATGGTGGTGATGATGATGATGGTGATGGTGATGATGATGATGGTGATGATGGTGATGGTGATGATGATGATGGTGATGGTGGTGATGATGATGATGGTGATGGTGATGGTGATGATGATGATGGTGATGATGGTGATGGTGATGATGGTGATGGTGATGGTGATGATGGTGGTCATGGTGATGGTGATGGTGGTGATGATGCTGGTGGTGATGGTGATGATGATGGTAACAATGGTGGTGGTGGTGATGATGATGATGGTGGTGGTGGTGATGATGGTGATGGTGATGGTGATGGTGATGATGGTGGTGACAATGATGATGATGGTGGTGATGATGGTGATGATAGCATTATAATAAGAGCCTGCCCACGAGAGCCCTTCCTACGCGGCAGGCACTGGTCTGGGCAGCCAGGCACGAAGAAGTTGGTGACCTGCCTGAGGTCACTCGGTCAGAGTGCAGGCGGGGTCAGATCTTGGTGTTCTTCTCCAGTGCCCACAGCCATGGCCGCCCCACTAGGTGACTCTCCTCCCTGCACTTGAGGGTGCGAGTTCCGCACACAGAGGAGCCGGGGCTCAAACACGGATCCCTGCAGAGCAAAGAGCACCTGGCATCCTGGGCAGGGGTGCGAGTCCCATTAATGGTGCTGTGGAAACCAGTGGGATCCATGGGAGGCTTTGGAGGTAGATTACCTTGGTTTGAGGACCGGCTCAGCCAGTGAACACTGTGAGGACTGGGGATTCCTGTGAACGCATGGCGTGGGGCCTGGCCCACGGTAAACCACGAACGACCCTCCTGTTGTTATTGCAGACACCGCGTGTGTGCATGCTTGTGTGGGGCTGCTCATAAGCCCCAACTAGACCTCCTGGGCTACGGTCCTCACAAGCTCAGCCCCAGGACAGTTGTCCCAGCAGTGATGAGACTTGTGTCCCTCCAGGCGTCCCTGGACCCTGCGCAGTGCAGACCGTGTCCACACATCCTGCTCTGGTGGGGGCAGCCCCAGGCCCAGGCTGCTGTGGTCTTGGTTTCTTGGCAGCCATCTTGGCTCTGCACGCTCCGGCCAGAAGGAGGCCGGGGCAGGAGGCTTGCGGGGGTTTGTTGTTGAACACAGGAGCTGAGGCCCTTGCCAGCCAGGATCCTGGCACTGCCAGTGCCCCAGGCCGTTCTTCACACTGCAGCCAGTCTGACCCTCCTCTGCCGACCACCCTCTGGGGCTCCCAGACACCCTTGGGATAAAGAGAAAACTCCCTGCTGAAGCCCTGCCGGTCCCAGCCCTGCTTCCCTGCTCCAGCCCAGCCTCCGCCCCCCGTGGCCCCCTGGCCTCTACTCCCTGACCTCCTCACACCCCACCCTCTGTCCTTGCGGATCGCTGGCCCAGACAGGTTCCTCCCATGGGTGGCAGAGAACCCTCCAGAATAGGGACCTCCCGTCACCATCAAGGCCCACATCGCTGCGCGAGTCAGGAGGACAGGGGTCCGGCTGCCGCCTCCCTGGGGATCTGTCCGGTCGGAGGCCTGTCTGCTGCCGTGTAGCCACCACCGCCTCTGCCGTCCCCTCCCGGAACACCCCTCCCTTCTCTTGCTTGTCCCTCACCGATGCCTCGATCTCAGCCCAGCATGTCATCCCTGCTAGGGAACCGTCCCAGCCGGTGTGAGCCCTGACGTGCTCCAGTCCCCCTGGGCCCACCCCAACACGGAAGGGGGTCTGTCCTGCGAGGCAGGCAGGGGCCACGTGCACCTGTCACCAGCTTGGCTTCCCGTCCAGCCCGAGGCCTGGCCCACCAGGTGCTGAGCCGGTGAAGAGGGACGTGAGTGGGGGAGGGTGGAGAGGGGACTTTCAGTCCAGCCAGACTCGAGATAGGGGAGAGGGAGGAAAGAAACATACTTCTTTTTTTATGTTGCTCTTTTTCTGAATGAAAGAGTAACAAATGGACAATTCTGATGTACAACACAGAAAAATCCAAGAAAGAGAAAAACGCATCGAGTGCCCGGCACACGAGAAAGAATGTGGACATTCTGATTTCTTCCCCCCAGGGGGTTCTGTTGTGGGGGCAGACGAACACGCACACATACGGTATTTCCCCACAACTGGGATCCCCTCACGCCTGTTTGCAGCTCGCTTTCTGAGACTTCTCCTGGGAAGTAGCGATCATGCGAACGGCATGAAATTTTAAAGGCACAAAAGGACGTTTCCCTCCCCTCCCTGCTCTGGGGACCCTGGGCCCGCACAGACAGGACCTCTCGCCGGTTCTTGACACCTTCTGGGAGGTGCCGGCAGAACCACACACACACACACACACGCACACGCACACGCACACACACGCGTGCTCTCCTGCCTTTGCGTGGACAGCCTTAAAACCTGAACGGCAGTGTCTGCTCGCGCTGCAACACGCCTGCCTTTACCCGGCCGTGTGCGGCAGGGGCGTTCCCGGCGGAGGAGGGACGCGGGGCGGGCAGACCCTGGTCTGTCAGTGCCTGACGGTGGACAGCGGGCTATGTCCGCACCTTTGTTTCACCAGTGATTCGCACGCATTTCTGACGTCTCGGCGCATAAGTATCAGTGTACCTGTCCGTAGGAAACGATCTTTTGCTTGGGCAAAGGGAGTGCGCACTTAAGATTTTATTAGGAATTGCCAGATTTTTCTCCTCATAGTTGGTACAACTTCCAAACCTCCACCACAGCAAATGGCTCCCAGCGCTCGGTGCGGCCGTGACGGGTGCGTGTCCCAGGAAGCTCGGGGCCTGGCACATTTGCGTGTAACTCCAAGCCATTTGTATGTCTTGTGCCTGGTCATTTCCTGTCCCCACTTTTCCGTTACGTTGTTGGCCTTTTCCCCCCAGACTGGCTGGAGCTCTGGCAGATTTAGGCAGCCGACCCTTTGCCGTCCTCTGCAAATACTTCCCCAGGTGGTCACTTGTTCTTTGATCCCAACCGTTGTTTCGAGGGCCTGGCAGAATCTTTGTAGTGTTCACAGGGTTGACGGCCTCTAAGTTTTATGTCATAGTTTCAAACTCCTCCTTTCCAAGATTAGGCCGAAGGTCCCGTGTGCTCCCCAGCACTACTGTGAGGTGCGTGTCGTGCGGGGTGCAAAGAGGAAGCTGAGCTGCTGACCCCAGACGGCAGCCGCTCCGCCCTCGTCCCCTCGGCCCCCAGCTTTTCTGTCCCGGCAACACATCATAATTCCCATCCTAAAACTGCGTTCGAGCATCGCCCAGGGCCCGCATCCCTCCGGAGGGGTGGGTGGCTCGTCCCCAGAGTGTCCCGGGGCCCCTCCCTGACCCATCCCGAGCGCAGGCCCAGAGGCTCGGAGCGCTTGGCCTGTGAGGGCCCCCTCCCCTGCCGGGGCGGAGCACACGCCCACTGGGCCCCCGTACGCGCAGGAAGCCTGGGCGTCGGCTGATGTCCCAGAAGGTCCCATCAGTGCAGTTCGGCTGTCCCTGGAGCATCTCCCTCTGCCACCCCCACCACGGCCATCGCTGGGCCTGGGCGGCAGCTGACTCGTCAGTGGATCAGCCATGGCCCACCAGGGAGCCACGTGGCTGCTGTGGGACCCAGCCTTGATGTGTGATGACCAGACGGGGGGCCCCTCCCTGCGTGGTGCTGGGGTCCACTTCCTGTGTGATGCTGGGGGCCCTCTCCCTGTGTGACGCTGGGAGGTCTCTCCCTGTGCGACACGGGGGCTCCGTCTGCAGCTGCAGCGGGAAGGCCCCTGTCCTGCCGTCCCACCTGCGCTCTCCTCGTTCGCTATGGAAGGTGGTGCTTTCCTCTGTTCCTCCTGCTTTTCCCGGTGTGGGGCCCACGGCGCTGGGTGCCTGGGGACGTCCCGCCCTGAGCAGGGACCCGCGCGGGCTGTGAAGGACACAGGCGCTGTCCAGAGAGAGGCCAGCAAGACCTCGCGTCTGGGGACGAGGGGGGCCGCGCCCCTCGAGGCCTGGGGCAGGGCGTGGCGACACCCCACAGAGCCGGCGCTCTCTAGCTCATCTCTGAAAGCTGGAGCTGGCCGTGAGGGTGCCGCGCTCTTCTGTCTGTGAAGTGGCAGTCGTGTGGGGTGTGAGCTGGCTGTGACAGCGGGGACGGTGTGTTTTGTGGCTGTCGAGGACGATGAATTGCACCTAAGCCTGCAAAAGTTTTTTTCCAGTTCCTAAAATTTCTGCTGAATCAAAAGGAATTTTCATAATTATTTTGCCTGAAGCAAAGGAAATACTCATTTCTGAAGATGTTACATTTTTGGTGGTAAGAAAAGGCCTCTGTAATTTTCTCAAAGGTCGTATCAGTGAGATTTCTGGAGGAGAAACCTTAAAAGTACTCTAGGCCAAGTGGTAACCCCCAGGGATTTATAAAAAGATGTATTTGGGCTTGTGAGTTACGGCAAAGGGCTCGCTTCACCTCGGTCTGTGGATTGGACATTTGGGAAGCAGCGTGGGGGGCCCTGCCCAGCTCCTTGTGGTCTTGCTGTGAGCAGCACGTGGCCAGGCTGGCTCGTGGCCTCCAGGTCCACGTCCCGCTGCGCATAGCTCTGCCCTTCCCTGACCCCCGCTGCGTCCTGGCCCTCGCTTGCCTGGTCAACTCTCCGCTGCTGGGGTCATCGCACGGATGAGGGTCTGTGGCCCTGCCTGCCCCCTGCCCAACGGTGGGCGGCCCGGCCACCTGCTGCTCTTCCTGAAAGGCCAGGACTGTGCAGCCCCGGGGAGCTCGGTCCGTGCCGGCGCGGAGGGGAGGACTAAGCTGTCTCCCTCCCGCCCCAGCACATCCTGGAGCTGGAAGCCATGCTGTACGACGCCCTGCAGCAGGAGGCCGGGGCCAAAGTGGCCGAGCTGCTGTCAGAGGAGGAGCGTGAGAAGCTCAAGGCGGCTGTGGAGCAGTGGAAGCGCCAGGTCATGAGTGAGCTGCGGGAGCGGGACGCCCAGATCCTGCGGGAGCGTATGGAGCTGCTGCAGGTGGCACAGCAGGTGTGTGCCGGGCGCCGGGGCGCAGCAGGGCCGGCGAGATGCGAGAGCCAGGCTGAGCCTCCCAGGGCAGAGCCTTCCCGTGGCCACACCCCCAGTGGTCACGTCTCCAATGGCCACGTCTGCATGGCCACACCCCCAGTGGCCACACCCTCCAATGACAATGCCCTCCAATGTGCACACTTCCAATGACCACACCTCCCATGGCTGCACCTCCAATGGTCACACCTTCCAATGATAATGTCCCCCAATGTCCACACTTCCAATGGCCACACCTCCAATATCTATTCTTCCAACAGTGACACCTTCCAATGACCATGCCTCCAATGACCACAACTCCCAATGGCAACACCCCCAACAGCCACACCCAATGGCCACACTTCTAATGGCCACCCCTCCAATGGCTGTGCCCTACAGGACCCCACCCCCCACAACCACACCCTCCGATGGCCTGTGCACAGCTGGGCTCTCAGCCAGATTGCCTGCCCTGCCAGGGTAGCCTCCTGGGGGGCCTCTAGGTGGCAGCTCCCCTCTTTTGGACCCTGGTGGCCACATCTTTTCCAGGAGCTATTTCCCGAGGGTGAGGGCGTTGTCTGGGGACGACAGCTGGAGGGCTGGGGGCAGCTTCTGGTCTCCACCTGGCCTCGGGGCACTCTGGGACCTCAGGCCCTCGAGGCAGTTCAGTTCTGTGGGAGGGGAGGAGCCCTGCAGACTAGACATGTCAGTTCCTCCGTGGGCCAGGCTGGCCTGGATGTGGCATTCACGATGTGTCCCTGTTAGCCACAACCCAGACCCAAAGGTTCGACTGCAATTCAGAGGAATGATCGCACGGTGGCCTGGGTTACCGTGGCCGTTGGTGAGCTGAAGTCGGGCACCCGCGGCCAGCCTTGTTGCCCGTTGGCCTCCCGGCCCCTCTCATCCCTGGGGCAGTCAGGGTGCGGAGGGTTACCTGCTGCCCCCTGGTCCCGTAGGCGGGCTGTTTTCGGAGCTCCCGGGCACAGACGTCACCCTCCCAAGGGAGCTTTCCTCTGTGACTGGCTCTGGGGCCCTCTGGCCGCTTGTCCCTCTGCTGTAGTGATGTTTGGGTGAATTAATTCCTTACCGTTTCCTTGGGGGTCTGGCGTTACGATTTCTGAAGTTGCGGAGACAGAAGGATATGGTTCCCACACACGAAACTCGGCTGTGGGGAAGCCGAGCCTTCTGCGCTCTTGTTGGCACAAAGAGCAAACAGAAATGCCGTGTGCCCACCATTGGCCATGGGCCACGTGGGCCGGTGCCCAGCACACCTGTGGCTCTGTGACTATCTGTCCACCAAATAAATGAGAGAAAATCTCGAAAGGACTTTTCCCACTTGGTTTTCCAAATACTCTGATGATTGAGATGTTCTTCCTTTTGATATTGCAGAGAATTAAAGAGTTAGAAGAAAGAATAGAAGCTCAGAAGAGACAAATAAAGGAACTGGAGGAGAAGGTACTGCCACTCGGGGGCTTGTCCTGTCGCTGGGGCTTGCCGGGTGGGAGGGGAGGACACAGATGGCTCACGGGGCCTTGGGGAGAAGGTGGACAGCGGCAGGAGCGGCGCACAAACCCGGGGCAGAGTTGGACAGAAGGAGGTTTTGGGCGGTGGCTGCGAGCTCGGGGCCAAGGGACGGGCCTGGGTCTAGGAGCCCGAGCAACGGGCCGTGTAGTCTCGGAGGAGCCCCTCCCCTCGCGCATCAGCCCCCACCCTGAGCCGGTCACCGGACTAGACCTCAGGTCCTCTCACTGCTCCCGCCCTGGGCTGTGCCGAACCATGTGATCCCGCCAAGATCACCACGTGCGTTGCTCTTAAAATCAAATTCCTGGAAGCCGCTCTGTGCCTTTTCCCCTCGAGAGGCGTCATCAGTGCAGGAAGAATCTCCTCTTTCCTGATCCTCAAGCGATTCCTTCCTGGTTCGGAAACGCCTGCTAAGGAGCAGCTGGGCTGGGGTCACACACCAGGGCCTGGAGGCATATTTGTGGGGGTCTCCCAGCTCTGTTCACGCACGTCACGGGCTCGGCGCTCCCAGACCCAGGAGGAGGAGGGCTCCAGAGAGACCCTCGCCCCTGTGGGGCTTCCTGGCTTTTAGGGCAGGTGTTTCTCTGCCACCTGGAGCCAGTTCGCGGTTTCTAGGGTCAGACTGTGGACCACTCCCGCCTGCGGAGTGGATCTCGCCAACTGGCCAGCTCCCACCGAGCGCCGAGTGAAGTGGCCAGTGGGACTCCCCCGTCTCGTCCCTTCTGGGGAGCACAGGAGGCAGGTGCCAGGCAGGGTGCCCTGTGGGCAGCACCTGCTCAGGCCCGGCCTCAGGATGAGCCCACAGACGCCCTGCGCTTGCCAGGAGAGACGGGGCCCCGGGACAGCCGTCCCCTGACAGCGGCCCGTCCTCCCCACCACCCGCCCCGGCTCGGCAACGGCCAGAACCGCTCCCTCCGCTGGGCACTTCACGGCCGAGCAGTCGTCCTGGCCGAGGCACAAATCCACCGTGAAGAACGAGCCCCGAGGGGTGCGTAGGGCACGACGTTTCCCACCCCGGGGGGTGGCCGGCCATGTGGGGACGCATGGCCAGGCAGAGCCAGGCGCCTGGTGACGCCAGGAGGGGACATGCAGCTCTTGGGGCTCAAACCTCGAGGAGGGCAAGGTCTCTCCCCCAAACCAAACGTCTGTTTCATTTAGCATCTTAGCCCGAGGGCGTTTGTTTGGTTAAATACTGGAAAAGTTTTAATTAGGTGTTTGCTTTTTCAGCCCCAGCTAAAGGAGCTCTCTGTTCCAGGCAATGCGCCATTGCCACGTTTTCTCCTGTCTGAGCTGCTCTGGTCCCCAACCCCCACCCCAAATGAGACTTCGGGTGTTACACGGACTCAGGTGTTGGTTGTACTTGATTCTCGTGTCGGGACTGAGACCAGAGCATTGTCACGGGGGTGCCCTGTGTCCCGGGCAGTTGGAATGTCCTTCAACTAAACTCTCATCGCCATCAGCAGCCGTTGGTGCTCTCGCCACGCACTCCTGAGACAGGAGGAGGAAACTGAGTCCCCAAGAGGCTCCCCTTGCCGGGGGCAGGGGGCGCGCTGGCGTGTGGCCCCCAGCCGGCACCCGCGGCTGGGCTCTAGTGGTGCAGGGTCCCCGAGTGCCTCCCCCGGGCTGCCAGCGCCGTCACCTCAGACCCAGGGAATTGCCTCAGCCTCGCTGGCCCGGATTCCTGAGCCGTGTCCTCCCCTCCCCGGCCGTCTTGCTCTGTCTGTGACCATGTTTCCTGCCGGAAGCACTACAAACTCTTCTTTCTCTTTCTTTTCTTCTGTTTCTCCATCCTCCCTTGTCCTTTTTAGTTTTTATTTTTGTTCTTATTTTTCTCCTTAGCTTTCATTCTCTGGTCGTAGCCCGTCCTGGCACCCTGACCCGGTGAGTATCGCGGCTGGGCCCGGCAAGGCTCTGCTTCCCGGGGACCCGGCCCTTGCAGCCCCGTGCAGAGCGGGAAGGCAGCGACCCACGGCTCCCACGGGGGCTCTCAGCGAGCTGCCCACACCCCAAAAACTAGAAGTCCCTCCTGGGGCCCAGACTCGGAGCCCCCCACTGCCGGAGGCCGGGACGTGCGCTTGCCTTTCTCGAGAGAAAGGGGGCAGAGCCCGCACCCCCCAGTGCAGCACGAACCGAGCGCAAGTCGCCCTAAGGTGGTTTTTGTGCTTCCGAGGCATCTTGGCAGGAAGCGGTGCTGGGGGATCGAAGTTGACCTGTCATTTTTGTTTGTCCTTTTCTGGGTGGTGCCAAGCACAAGCTGTGGCTGCAGTGCCCTGGTCCCCGGCCACGCCGGCTGGCTCGCAGTGGCACAGGAGCAGCACCAGGCTGCGGGTCACGGCTGTCACCCGCCGCAAAGGCCACACGCCAACATTCGGTCGTTGCTTCCTCTGCAAACGAGAGGAGAGTGCGGGAGAATAAGGCCACCACTCCTCTCGAGGGTCCCGAGAGGACCGCCTCCGGGAGCAGGCGTCGTCCTGGCCGCGCACCCCCCGCCCCGCAGCCCCCTCACTTGGCCGGCCAAGCGCGGCCTCCCTGACATCTGTGCTCTGCGTCTCTTCTCTCCCAGCCCCTCGAGGAGCCGGACCCTTTCCTCCAGCGGGACCAGAGAGCAGCAGGTGCTGGCAACAGAACGGGACACGGCGTCGCCATGCTGAAGACCCCGGCGGATCTGGTCTCTGCGCGCCCGTCCTGTGGAGGAAGAGAGGGACGGCTCTGCAACAGGGGCGGGGTGTCCGAGCCCCGCCGGCCACTTGGGATGGGCCAGAGTTAGAACTAGTTTGCTGACTTCTTGGGGCTTCTCTGGGAGAGGCCTCCTCGGCTGCCAGACCCTGGGGTCCCCCCGGACAGTGGCTGCCATCCCGCTGCAGGGGTGGGTGGCGTTCCCTGCCGAGCAGGGCAAGAACCGCTTCTGAGCAGGAGCTCCTCCCTCTCTTGGTTTCCACAGTAACCGTCACCTGAGTCTGGAGGAAGATTTTCAGAAACAGCACAGGCCCGTCCCTGGTGACAGGGTGGAGGCTGTGACCTGGGGACGACCTTCACCCTGGGGGGCTGGGAGGGTTCCCGGTGGCACCTCGGTGCACCACATGATGCTGTACCTCGTCGCTGGGCTCCCGGGCGCCCGCTGATGAACAAACCCCACACCCACCCTGTTCTGTCCTCGTCTTCCCGGGGACAGAGAGCTGCGGCCCCCGCCAGCCGCATGGAGCCATCAACCCTCTGCCTCCGTAGCCTCCCGGAGACAGGAAGGCAAAATCCCGGCCTGCGTGGCCAGCCAGGAGCACCGTGGGCTGAGCAGGAAAGAGGGGCCTCGGGCTGGGGTCGGGCGCGGCGGCAGAGCCGGCGGAGGGAGAACGACCTTGGAGAACTCGTTCGCCAGACGCAGCGCGGCCCAGAACCGCAGAGGCCCTGGGCGCCGGGAAGCCCGGCCTGGAAGCCCGTCTGAGGCCAGGCACGAGCTACAGACCAACTGGGGGTGGAAGCCGGCCGGGCCCAGAGCCCTAAGCCGTGCCCCGGGGCGGCGAGGACAGGTGCGCCTGCAGTTCCACCATGGAGGAAGGGAGCCCGCAGCCCAGATGTCTCACAGGTAAGGCGACCGCGTCACCCTTGGAGACAGCCTTTTCTTTCTGCCTGTGTGGTGGCCCCGCGGGCAGAAGCACCTGCTTTCCAGCGCTGTTTCTGCTTCCTCAAAAGTGGCCCCACTTGAGATCGAGTTAGGTTTGCTGGTGCGCTCCCCTGCAAGGGGGCCCGCGTCACTGCGTTCTCCACCTTCGCGCTGCACGCCGACCCGGACGCTCCTTGTCCCCGCCCGCAGCCTCCCGGGGCACCCGCGAGTGCCCACGGAACATGCACCTGGGCAGCCGGTCGCTCTCAAAGGCGCCTGGCCATTCCCGCCAACCCCACGGCCTGCCCGGCCCCAATCCCGCCACGCCCAGAGCCGCCAAGGAGGAGCGCGTCCTTTATCCTGCGGGGCAGTCTGGGCCCGTGGCCCCGGCCCCCACGCTCAGCAGGACCCCCTCACCTCGGGGCAGTGGTGAGCTCAGCTGGACACCGCGCCCCCCTCCTGTCCCGCCAGAGCTAGGAAGCGTTTCCCCGGGGCGTGAGATGATCCCCCAGCCCTTAGAACGCAGAAGCAGCTTTCGTGGAAGCCAAGCGTTTTCCATCCACGGTACGGGTCACTTCCGTTGTAAACGCAGATCCTCGTCGTGGAGTGACTCCATGGTCAGGGCCCTTGTTGGGACGTGGTGGCTCAGGGCAGGTTTCAGCCTTGGGTTTGTCGGAAAGAGGCAGAGCCTCCGCTCGGGGCTGTGCGTGTCCCCCCGTCTGTGGAAACTGCCGCGTCAGGCCCAGCTGCCCCTCCCCACGTACGGGAAGGAGCTCCCCACTCGGAGGGGGCTACATACCCCTCCTGTGGGGGTCTCAGGAGTGGCCCCCAGGCCTGGCAGGTCAGCTGCCCGGGTGAGGTCCCCTCTCCTGCCACCAAGCAGAACCCAGTGGGAGCTGTCACGGGGGAGGGGCTGACGCGCGGAGACCACTCTCTTCCCACTGTGGGAGGAGGAGGAGGGAGGGAGGAGCCCTTGTGCTACATGGAAACGCTCTCCCGCGTGCTCCCGTGCACACAGGTGTGAACGCCTCGGCACCTGTGGCCCCTCCACTTGCGTCCGTGCGCTTGGGGGCCGCAGTGGGGTGGGGGGTGCTGAGCCGGCTGCTCTCCCGGCAGGGAAGGGGGTCGGGACGTGGGCAGCACCCTCCAGCGGGAGCGCCCGGGTGAGGGTGTGTGAAGACTGGGTGGGGCTCTAGTGGTGGGTGAGCCTTTGCGGGAGGAGGCGGCGGGGGAGGGGGAGGGAATGAGACCCCTGCCTGCCTACTCAGAGGGCACGGTGCTGTTTCCTCGCCCGCCGTGGCATCCTGGTGCAAGTTCTTAGAGGCACGTCTTGCACCACAGCGTTGCCGGTATGGTCGGGACCCCGGGCCCAGGCAGCATCTGGCCCCTGCGTCCCCCAGGTGCGCACGGGCATGGCCTTGGGCCAGGGAGCTCACCGTAGGCTTCTAGAGGGAGCAGGAAGCCCGCCCGCCCCGGGCCCCGTCCCGGGACACCCCACACCAGCCACGCGAGGGCGCTCCTGCCCTACAAGCCCTCGCTCCAGCCCTGGCGCACACACAGTGGTTGCAGAGTTCCTGACCCGCACCCTCCGTGAAGCCAGCGCACGGCATTTGTGCACAGCTCCTTTTGCGGCCAGCCTTGCAGGATCCGGACCGTCTTCCAAAATAGGTTCGGTCCTTTCTTCCACCCTCTTCAGGATGGGGACGTTATCATTTGTAGCACAGTGAGGTTCCTTTTTACAGCTTGCATTCCAATTTGGGTCTTCCTCATGTATTGACTTTTTAAAAAAAATAACACATAGTAAAATTTACTGTTTGTGGTGTTCCCATGGCGGTTCTCTGGGTCTGGACACGTGTGCGGCAGCACCGCAGCGCACCAGTCTCTAACTGAAGGAATCCGTGTTGTTTCCGGTTTTTGTATGAACGCGAGTTTTCATTTGTCTTGGGCAGATACTCAGGATTGGGATGGTCAGATCATAAGTGTTTAATCTTATAAGGAATTATTGTCCAAAGTGATTAGACCGTTTTGAGTTCCCACTGGGAATGCAGGACAGTTCCTGCGGCTCCGCCCACACCCTCCCCGATGCCCAGCGTGGTCATTTTTATTTCTTGGGTCAGTTTCAGTGGGTGCAGAGTGGCACCTTGCTTTGGTTCACGGTTGCATTTCTGTAACGACCAATGATGCGGAACGCCTTCCCACATGCTGACTTTCCATCCACGTGTCTTCTCTGGTGAAACGTCTGTTCAGATCATTTTCCCATGTTTGAGCTGGGTTGTTTGTGTCTTACTGTCGGGTTTTGAGAGTTCTTTACGTATCCCAGGGCCTGCCGTTCCCAGATTCACCACTTGGTGCCGGTTTCAGCCTCTTTTGTCATTTTGTTCTCTTAGGAGTGTCTTTTGAGGAGCAGAAGTTCTTAACTCTGGTGAAGTCTACTTTGTCAGCTTTCAAAGATGGGCTGCATTTTTGGTGTTGGGACTAAGAACACGCCGCCCAACTCAGCGTCACCGTTATTTTCTCCGCGTTTCCGTTTACAATTTTATGGTCTCGCCTCTTACACTGAACACCCACGACTGACTTTGAGTTAATGTTTCCATGGGGGGTGCGGAACCGATGAACCTCACCTTCTGCGGTGAACGTCCACCCCCATGTCCTTGTCCCCTCCCAGCCCCATCGTAAAGAACTCGTCCTCTTTTTGATCAAAATCCCTTCTGCTTGGCTCTGTGGTCAGCGCCGTCCTGGCTGGAGTGCCCCCACCCCGTCACCGCGCGCTGGGAGGGGAGACGGGGTGGGGTGCTGCTGGCGTCCGTCCGGCACCACGTGACCCTGGGCTGGAGCCGGATCTCCAGGGACGCGCCTGTCCCAGCTGCGGGTCTGGAAGCTCGAGCTGCGTTAGATTAGCTGTCAGCAGAGTCAGATTTACGGCCCCAGACGGAGCCGGCGCCTGAATGCCAATGAGGGGCTCAGTGGCAGATGCTCCTCGTGCTGCCACCAGGCAGGCCGGAGATGAGGCCATTTGTCATTTTTAGAGCCAGGAATAAGCTGCTCTTGTTCAGAATACACCCACAGTTAATGAGCATTGTGCACAAAAGGAATGGGAACCTTCATTTTTAAAAATATCTCTAATATTCTCTATCATAACCCAACGAAGTTTTCTTTTGCTGAATTTGTGTTTACTGTTAAAGGAAAAGAAAGGAACAAAAGGCGAGGTGTTTGTAAACAGTTCACCCAAGTGTGAACAATTAGCACCCTCGGCTGCTCTGT